GACGAGCCGTACAACGTAAGAAAGGTCCCTAGAAACAAGGTTTATGGCCACATCACGTTGGAACAAGGATTTCCGTTCAATTACCAAAGTTAAACAAATGTCGAGCCTGGTCAGTACTTAGATCGATGACCGCTTGGGAATATCAGACTGTAAGCTGGGATGCATTCGTGGTGTAATCGATAATGACTCGTATTTACTTATCGAAGAGTTGAGTTCCAAGGCCCGTTCGGTTTGTTACATTCACTTACGCACAAATACACCTGGAACTGGTATGAATCCACTTGTTCTCCCCCAGTTATGGGTTAATTAGTAAACTTGTATCGCTGAATAATTATTACCTACAAAATATTCTTACAATCTAAAAATACGTTCTGGCTTTAAATAACCTGCAAAGGTTTGATAAGCCGTAGAAAACGGATCAACGAATCAGGCAGACGATATAGGAGATTCAAAACCAATGTAGCTTACATTTTGAAGCGCTGTCATTGTAAGTTACATTCCAAAAATAGTCCGTGCTATTAATGAAGATGATCCACATTAATTTTCCATGTTAATTGCTCCGATGAGCTGCTTTCACTGGTTCCCAGACTTCATGAATTCAAGCGCCCTACGAGGCTGGCATCCTGCTCTCACCCTTTCACTGCAGAAACTTTTAAGTGTAGCCGTCTCTTCTACTCCAATAGCTTCATACCTCGCACCTCTCGCCTGTGGAACACCCTTCCCAATTACTGTTTCCCTGAGAGCTATAATCTCCAACTATTCAAGTGTAATGTCGATCGACATCTCCAGTTACCTTGATCTATCCACTATCCCTCTCCTCATCCTTTCTTCTATCACTCCTATCTGCTCTCGCTCCAAATTTTCTGCAACCCCCTGCATCCTAGTCGCTTCATGCCTTGCTCGGTGCGTAATGCTTAAAAAAAAAATTAGGAGAGATTTGCAAGTGGTATTTGACAAGAAGTTGTAGAAGATGCCTACTTTCCAACAAAAATTTTTGGGTGTAATAAAGATACAATTAAATTAAATGGCTCAATTTACCACCACAATTACACTTGCTAGGAGCTGAGGATCGGGATATTACGGAGAAACATTATGTTAATTGATCAGGAGTTATACCATCGAACGTTCGTTTTTTACGGTATTTTCATTGGTCATGTTCAGTGTCCGTTTTGCCTCCTGATCCTACCCTCTTTCTTCTTCTTCACTCTTTTTTTCCTTCGCATTTTCCTCTGAGGTTCTCTGGTTTTATCACTTCTTTATGTACCTGTTCGTTTTCCTCCTCCCCCTTCTTCTCTACTTCTCCTTCTTCCTCTTCAATGAGGTTCTCTCATATTATTTCCTGTCCGTTGCTTCCTCTTCACGTTATTTCATTCGTTTATTCCTCCGCATTTCCTCCTCCTCCTCCTCCTCCTCCTTCTTCTTCTTCTTCTTGTTCTTCTCATCCTCCCTCTCCTCCTCCTCTTTCTCCTCCCTCCTTCTTCTTCCTTTCTCCGCCTTCCTCCTCCTCCACCTTCCTCCTTCTCCCTCTCCTCCTCCTCCTCCTCTTTCTCCTCCCTCCCTTTTCCTTTCTCCTCCTTCTTCCTCCTCTTCCTTCTTCCTCCTCCTTCTTCTTCTTCTTCCTCCTCCTCCTCCTTCTTCCTCTTCCTCCTCCGTCTTCCTCCTCTTTCTTCTTCTTCTTCTTCTTCTTTTGATCTACTTGGTATTCTTCTCCCGCTTTCATTCATTCTTTCTTTTTGTACGCCCATTTTTAACCTCCCTCTTCCTTGTCTTCCCCTTCTTCTTCTTCCCCTTCTTCACAAACATTCAAATGAACGGTCACGTGCTTTTTCTACACTGAACACTTGGACATAAACTTTCCCGTTTAATTCATCAAATGTTGAAATATTACTTCATCTGAACACAGCTGCCTCGCGCGCGTTTATCATCGAGGCTGTTGCCCTGGTAACCGTTTCATTAATCAAACCACTTTTGAATTGTTGCTTAATCATACAGAATCAACTCGCCTTTTTTCACTTCCTGTCTCTTTTTTCATTCTCTCTTCCTCTCTCTCTCTCACGCACACACTCACTTTTTTGACCACTCCTTCTTTCTACGTTTTTTCTCTTTCTTTCCTATTTATCTTGCTCTTTTCCTTCTCCATTCCTATTAATCATCTTCTCCCCCCCTCTCCATTGATTACATTAGTAAGATTAGCTTGTTAACCATTGCTTAATGGCAGGCATCCCAACGAACTAATCTTGTGAGCGCGCACATACATGCGTAGTATATTATATTATTATAAAGACCCACGAGGAAACTCGTTTTTTACTCCTTGTTGAAGGAATCTGGGATTTGAGACAAAAAGAATTTTGATCCTACTGAATTGACCTCTTTCTTACATTGAAATGTTATCACCATTAACATCTGCCTAAAAGGCATACGCCAATCCTTAATGAGTATATATGCGGATTATACAACATTTTACAGGAGCACCTCCAAAACTATGGAAGACCAGAACTTA